AGAGAGAGACAGAGCATGAACGGGGGAGGGGCAGAGAGAGAGGGAGACACAGAATCGGAAACAGGCTCCAGGCTCCGAGCCATCAGCCCAGAGCCCGACGCGGGGCTCGAACTCACGGAGCGCGAGATCGTGACCTGGCTGAAGTCGGACGCTCAACCGACTGCGCCACCCAGGCGCCCCTCAAGACGGGTCTTAAGGAAGAAAACGGTCCAGGCAGTGGGTGGCAGCGTGAGCCGATGCACTGTCCCAGAGCACATGTTGGGACTACCGGTGTCAAGACGAAAAGCCTCCCCTTGGACCCGGCTAAGAATGTGTCCCACAGACAGTCGAGATTTGCACACTTCTACCGAGACCCCCCCCCCAAGGATGTCCAATGACACTGGAGGAGCAAAACGATGGAAGTGACCCAAACGTCTGCCAATACAAAACGTTATGAGAGATGTTTCTGGTCCAGCCATGTGCTAAAATACCACATAAGAGTTCATCGTTACTTAGCATGAAGTGATGTGCGTTGACGTGGAACACCAGAGTATCCGTGAAAAAAGGCAAGGGGCAGAATCACATAGATGGTATGACTCCGCGTGTAGAAATAGACAAGAAAAACACGTATGGCATACAAACGAACATTTCTGGAAGCACAGGCAAGAAACTGTTCCCAGTGATTACTTCTGGGGGCAAAGCTGACTTATTTCTCATTTTATCACGTCCTGTTTATATCTTAAAATACCACATGCTTACAATGTACATATTTCTAAAATGAATTAATGCAATCAAAGAACGAATATAGAATAAATGACGGAGCGGAAGGAAAACAAGGGCCCTGACTTGGGACAGGTCCTGATCGCCGCGTTTTAAATCAACAACTGATCTTCCATCAACAGCCGCTTTTGAAAACATTCTGCCATATTTCAGGGCGAGTGTGAAACCCTAACACGCTTGCAGGGGGCCCCCTGGCCGGCTTCGGGAAGTTCTGCAATCAAGAGCGAGGCTCTCTTTCGAAGGACAGGGTGCACGTGGACTTATCTTAGACACACTGGAACAGGAAGGGGAGAGGCTGCCAGCCCTCGGGAGGAGCAAGCGGCACTCGAACTTTCTTTCCATGTTTCTCTTTTCTGGGGAGATGAGCTCTGGAGGAAGTGGGAGGGGTGCTCCCAGCCCCCACAGGGAAGGCCCTGGCACAGCCCTCTCTGTGCTCTCCTTTCTTCAGGGGTTGGAACAGGAACCATGCACACGGCCTCACTCGTCATCCCCACGGCCTCATTACTAACAATCTGAGCATTTCCAAGAAACTCCCAAGAAAACTCTTAGTCCTAATTCTGAGAAGTTCTTCCACATCCCCAGAAAATCTCTGGAAAACCAAACCCAGGCGGCAGAACACCAAAGAGAAAGCCAAGATTTATTTCTAGGGTTTGTGTTGCATCTTGAGCTATCCTTTGACGAATTCTAAGAAACGGGTACTTCCAGCCGCCCGGATTCCGACACGGGAAGGGAAGCTTGCTCACACAGACTCAACAGACAAGGTCCCAGAACCCTGGGGCGGGGGCGCAAGGCGGCGCAGGGTCGGGGCGGCTTACCTGGCACCTTGTCCACGGATGCGAACACGGAGCGCTGCACGGTGGGGTCGCTGCTGCCCCGGCGGCACTGGTCGTAGAAGCGGAAAGGCAGGTGCTGGGAGGAAGAGGAGCCGAGTCTAAACCCCAGGACGTCGGTCGTCGGCTGGATCGGGAGGTCCAGGAGGGCTATGTTCAAACAACACCGTGGTTCATGCTCGTCACATGGGCCGGGGGTGTAGATGCTGGGGCCGTAGCCGGAGCGGCCGCGGCCCCTGCCGGGCACATCGCGTGGACGGCGTCAAGCAGGCAGCCGGCGGCCTTGAGCTGGGGAGACCGGCGTGACACCGAGGTCCCGCCTGAGCTCAGGACACAGCCGGTGCCTCGCGAGGGATTCAGAAATGGACGCTGGCCAGTCTCCACCTTGGACCCTTGGCTTCCACAGGCAAAAAGACCCTTAGCGAGGCTTCGCTGCGGGTACGACTTTAGACCCCAAAGCAAACGGGGCCAATTCTGCCCTGAAAGTTCAGACATGTACACGTGCACGGGGAGGCGCGTGTGAGGGAGAACATATCCGCGCGTGCACCTGTGTATTTATGAGTTTGTGCTTATCTGTCACGGTTGCTATCTTCCCTCCCAGAAACAAATCTCATGATAGAGCAATTTGGAGGGGCTTTTTAACATCAATTGAAGGCATACCCGAGGCGTTCATTCTAACAGCCACTTTACGGCATAATTCTCAATTTTCAGATGAAATATTTAGCCTTCGTGCCAGCGCTGAGAAATTGCTTTACATTAAAAAAAAAAAAAAAAAAAAAAACAACCACCCTCTAAAAATAAATCTTAAGAGGAAGGACGGAATGATTTAAGTCACTTTGCACATTACAAAATGCTTCTGTAATGATTTCATAGGCCAAGTTTCAGCTAAGCAAGAAAACAAGGGACGCATGGGACACAGGCCTATGCAAATCAACGGGGCACGCACGGTAAGTAACGCAATCCAGAGCGTCCAGAAACCCGGCCCACCAAGGGTTTATTTTTAGGTAATCCCTTTAGAAAGCACCCCTCCTCCTCCCTCACTGGGCTGGAACTGCTCCCAGCAGCTACACCAGGATGACCACTGGTGCTCGAACTGCAAGGCGTTGGTGTCTGGAGAACGGCTATTTATAATTTGGGGGGTTGATGGAATGCCTGCTCCCCCGGGGGAACGCCGTGCCATCGGCCCTGGTGATCGGAACACCCTTGGTACAGAGCCTTTATTTCTAAGAAAGCTCGGGCCTTCCTGCCCAGGGTGGCGCAAGGCCTCCTCGCACATTCACCACAGTCCCTGTGAAACGGACAACGACTTCCAAATTTAGTGCTGGGTCATCGTGGCCCCCTCACCACGCAGGGCTGCCTCTCAGGAAAGCTGGAGGGAGGGGGCAAGGGATGGGCTTTCAGGAGGAAGTTCCGCGCTGGGCTTCTGTCAACCAGCTGCGCGTGTGACTTTGGGCAAGTCACAGAGCCTCAGTTTACTCTTCTGTAAAATGCACAGGACAGACCCTCCTGATCTTATTAAGGGTTAAGGATCCAGAGTAGCAGAGGAATGTCCAAGCCTTTTGTACACGTAAGCTAGAAGATTCCCGTGTGTGGGAAGTGAACAGCTGTCCCAAACCGACACCTGTCTGTTCAGGGCCTCTTGCTCGGTCGGGGAGGGTTCTCTTCCCCTCCACGTGGGCCTAGAAACTCTCTAGAAATCACACACCTGGGGAAGGGGAGAGTCTGAGCAGATCCTCCGTTCTGTCACCACAACACGAGTAACTCCTCTAAGCCACACGTGTCCTCCCCTAGCGGTCAGCGTGTGAGCCCGAGGGCCCTGGGGACATCCGCCAGGGCCGGCCACTCACCGGCTATTCTCTGCATCTTCATGCGCCTCGCCTGGATGCGGCCCTTGGCCAGGCGCTGCTTGGCGATGATGCAGCGGATGTGGTCCGAGAAGACGAAGGTGGCCTGGAGGATGGGGAAGGGCTTGGAGTGGGGGCTGGACGCAGGCTTGTGGATGGTGATGTTCAGGGCGCGGCTGTCGTCCTCCACGCCGGTCACCTGCATGTCCTGTGGGGGAAGTGGCAAAAGCAAGGGTGTTCGTTACATTCGGGAGGAGGGTGGCGGCTCAGAAGCCGTGGGATCCGTGTCTCATCAAGAAAGCGGTTCCCTGGCACTGACTTGGTCAGAAGAGCACACGACTCTTGGTCTTGGGGTCATGAGTTCAAGCCCTATGGTGGGTGTAGAGATTACTTAAATAAATAAATGGAGAGGTTTTTCTTTTTAATGTTTATTTTTGAGAGACAGAGAGAGAGAGAGAGAGACAGAGACAGAGAGAGCACAACTGGGGGAGGAAGGGAGGGAGAGAGAGACACAGACACGCGCACACACACACACACAGAATCCAAAGCAGGCTCCAGGCTCCGAGCTGTCAGCAGACAGCCCAAAGCGGGGCTCGAACTCACAAGCTGTGAGATCATGACCTGAGCCCAAGTTGGATGCTTAACTGACTGAGCCACTCAGGTGCCCCAATAAATAGAGTTTTTAAAAAAGAAAGAAAGAAAGAATAAAAAAGAAAATAGAAAAGGAGTTTCCCCAAATTCCCCCAACTCTGCTTTTGCCTGAAAAGAGCAGCCTCCCAAACCAGACCAGGCTTTGAGAACAGGACATGGTAGGCAACAAAGGTGCTCACGGGGAGCCCGCGCGGGCCGGGACCCTGCCCCCGAGGACGTGGGCTTGCTAGGGAATAAATGGGTGCACTGGCCTCTCCAAGGGACCTCAAATAGCCGGACTGTGGCAGTCCTTCCTCACTTCTGAGAATACTGGAGACAACAACCCAAAATGCCTGTCGCCATTGGCCATGGTCTGAGATAGGCGCACTTATCTACTGACCAACTTCTTCCTGGCTTCTTTTCAGAAGGGGGGGATCCCTGACACCCACACGCACGTCTCTGGAGAATTTCTGGTCCCTAACAGAGAATGCTAATCCAAGAAGGGACAGGGAGGGCCACTCAGCAGGCAGTGAAGGAAGCTGCATTTGAAGGGTGTAGAAGAAACTCGCCCACAGCAAGCGTGATAAGGATGAATCCCATCTAAAACCTCAGAAAGGATTTTTCTGTATAAAGAATCTGCATCGCACAAGAGTTTGAGGTGATGCAAGATAAAGGCACGAGGCGAGACAGACGTGGAAGTGAGACGTGCTGGAGGAGGTGGGGAACATGAGCTAAAAAGGCTCACGAAGTACGACGGTCGCTGTTTGTGGGCATTAAATCGGGCACAGGGTCCTTGGAAATAGTACCTGCCTCAAAATGTGGCAGCAGATTAGATGGGGTGTTCCACATTTAAGGCGGAGAACCTGGCACACAGGAGTGGCCTGACAAGTAAGTAGCAGCTACTGGAAGGCGACCAAAAGGAAAGGTTGATGTGGCTTTCGTCGTCTGACAGAGGACACGTATTAATCCTTCGAGGGAGAAAAACACTTTCCTGACACTCAATTCTAAAGGAAATTGATCATAAGTCTAGATACATAAGACGTACTAAGTCACCTAACGGACAACCTCTTACAGGGTAGTCTTTTTTTTTTAATGGAAGATTCTTCGTCGAGTTTCTCGCATCCCCCTCTGTAAAAGACATTTTTTAAAGGGAGAGATCTTCAAAAAGAGGAGGTTGGGGAAAAGGTTGCAACAGCATCCTCGAACACGTGGGCGACTCCCTCAGAGAGTGGGATGCTGACAGTGGGTCACACTGTGCAGAGGGGGGACGCAGGTCAGCCCGGGCGAGACCTTGCCGGTGACCATGCACTGCCCAGCAAGGGAACGGCCTGCCTCAGAGCAGGGCACGTCTCGGGTTCTGCTACATATCTGGGGACGGAGCGGGGGGTGGGGGTGGGGGGTGGTGTGTGTGACAGGGGGTGGGGACTGGAAGGCTGTTTTCAACACTGCTGGTTCTTCCTTTCATTCAGTTATGGAGCTGACATTAGTCACCTGCCAATAAGAAAACCCACAAACCATATGAAAACCCATGTCCCAACTTGCGTTTGGCGACTTAGAGCCCACGCCTCCTAGAAAAGGGGTGAGGACGAGGCCACGCTCCTAAACTGTCAGTGGCAGCAATCGCTTTAGAGAGGAATCTGGCAGCGTCTATGAACGCTGAAAATAGGCACGCCCCAGCTTCTTGGAGTCCGCCTAGGGAAGCCCTCGCTCAAGTGCACATGGAAGTAAGGACGGTTCTCTTCGAGGCAACATTGTCTATAAAGGTAACGATCTGGCGACAGCCACGGGGCACTGGCTAACTGTGCCTCAGCTCAGTCACACAGCAGTGAAAAGAACATCAGAGAGTCTGCACATAATACGCGGTCAGCTCTAAGACGTGTATCGACTGGGGGGCGGGGGGAGTTTAGAATACACTCAGCGTGACACTATTAAACACACACACACACACACACACACACACTCTCAAGTACGTGCACACCATGTTTATAAACAGCACGTGCGGTTATATTTATACGTGCGTTTATTTATATGTGCAGCAGCTCTGGAAGGCCCATACTGATAATGCAGGAGAAAGTTTAAGAATTGAGGGTTTGGGTCAAAGCACACTTGACCCTTATCTGTGCAGTATTTTCACTTTTTTTTTCAAATAACAATCTGTTCATGTAGTCCTTGTGTCATCAGAAATTAACCGTAGAGACAGATGATTCGTGTGTGTGTGTGTGTGTGTGTGTGTGTGTGTGTGCGCACGCGCGCACACAGCCAGCCAAGAAGAGAGCCCAGGCTTCCTGGCCATCATACCTGCAGCAGGCCTGCGAACTTGACCACTCCCCAGCCAAGCCTGGACACATCAGGTTCCACTAAGCTCATCTGGTAAATATCGACAGCCAGGAATCGCTGGACCATCCCACCATCCTTGGTGATCACGGTGCACGCGATCAGGTCACTGTTGTCTGCGAACAGGGAGAGGGAGAACAAAATGAGGGGCAGTCCAGCGGCCCAGTCTGACGGAGACGGGCGCTCAGAATGACTCGCTGGGCGGCAGCGTTTGGCGGGCAGAGTCCAGATCTGGAGGCACACACACACCTGAGACTGAGGCCCTCCCCTGAGTCTCGCGGGGCGACCTGGGATGATGCCCACCCCTCTCAAAGTGATGGCTGAGTAAGGTACGTAAGGCATTATTAGTACAATGTTTAGCACGCAGCAGGCGCTCAAACTGTAGCTAAGAAAACTCAACTGAGAATCCTGGTAACAGTTCAGTGCTTCCTTGCAGACAGATGATGGGTGGCAAGCTGTGACGGTGTTTGCCTGAATTAAGGGAAGGCGCAGGAAAACAAGAGTGCCCTGGTTGGTTCTAGAACCGTCATACTTCCAATCTGGTGTCTGGCAACTGAGAGCTGACCTTTATACTAGATGCTGTGTGATTCTGGGCAAGGCACTTGGCCCCTCTGAACCAGTTTTCCATCTGTATGATGGGAATAATCTCCCTTATTCTGAGATGCTTGGTGCTTCGTGTGTGTGTGTGTGTGTGTGTGTGTGTGTGTGTGTGTGTATATATTTTTTTTTTTTTGAGAGAGAGAGAGAGAGAGCATAAGCAGCAGAGGGGCAGAGAGAGAGACAGAGAGCGAGCGAGACAGGATCTTAAGCAGGCTCCATGCTCAGCACAGACCCCAACAGGGGGCTAGACTCCACGACCCTGGAATCATGACTAGGGCTGAAATCAAGAGTCGGACCCTCAACTGACGGAGCCACCCAGGCTCCCCAAGATGTTCTGTGCTTTAAAGGAGAACCGCATTTAACACAGAATCCTTACCGTGTGCTGGGCCCCTTCTCTTACTTGGAAATTATCCTCCAATTCGAGGTCTAACTTAGTGCCTGTCCTTGATGGCTTTGACATCTCCAGAGTAAGACAGGACCGTTAAATCTACCGTCTGCTTTGAATTGCCTCCAATGGAATCCTCTGCCAAAATTTTTTTTTTTTTTTTTAAATAGCCAAAACAGGAAACAACCTAAATGTCCCCAAACAGGGGAAAAATTTGAGTATGATTTTTTTTCCCATCACATGCAAAATTATCTACCCATTTAAAAATTATGTTTAACCAAACTGTGAACAACAGTTGCCTATGGAAAGGGAAGTGAGAATGGTCGGTGGGGGGTGGGGGGCGGGGGGAGTGCCTATGTGGGGTGGGGGCATCGATGGCAGAACTTAAATTTTTGTACCGTATAGCACTGTATTCCTTGGAATTATTTTAAATAGCTATTTTTTGAGACAGAACCTGGGAGGAGGGGAAAGGCAGAAAGAGAGGGGAGAGAGAGAATCCTGAGCAGTCTTCTTGCTCAGCGCAGAGCCTGACTCGGAGCTTAAACCCACGAACCGTGAGATCACGACCTGAGCCGAAACCAAGAGTCGGACGCTCAACCGACTGAGTCACCCAGGCGCCCCTCCTTGAAATTATTTTAAAATGAGAAATTACTCAAGACGTACTCTTCAAGTCCGTATTAAAAACCCAAGTATAAAATCCTATTTACAAATAACTGCAAACGACATTGGAAAAGCCACTGAAATTTGAAATGGAAGAGGATAAGAACTATATTATTCTGATTTTGATGTTATTGTTTTTTAAAGAAGCATCCCTACAAAGAACACACAAATGCAGAAAATAAAACGGAAACATTAGATGTTTCTGATAACAAGAATGGTAGATGGGGTTTTTTTTTTCTTCTTGGAAGCAGCTTTACGGAGTTATAATTTATATATCGTAAAATGCACCCATTTTAAGTGTACAGCTGGAGTTTTAGCAAATTTACAGCTGTGAGTTACTACATTCCAGCTGTGTGATACCTGAAGCGCCCCAGTGGGTTCGATCGAGAGCACTGTAACAACATATCAGGCGGGTGGGGGGGGGGAGGGGAGGGAAGGTTACGCAGACAGTAGAACTCTTGGCCCCAGACACACGTGATGACGGACCTGGGCTCAGGTATTCCCCAAGGATTTATGCCCTGCCCCCCATTTTTACTTTCCATTAAGATCCAGGAAGGACAGGGAAACTCCTCTCCTCTCTCAGCACCACCTTCCTATATACAGCCCCGTTTAACCCTCTGAAAGCTAATCTGTTGGGGATTGTGGCTTCACGGGGAAGGCTTCCTCTGGGCTTTTAAGGGCTTCATGTCTCTGTGCATTCTCCCAAGGGTAGGCCCACCTAGGACGGCCAGCAGCCCCACGGCAAACACCGACACCAGGTGGGATTAACCCTCGACTTCCTTCATATTCTGTGGCAAGGATCTCGCCCCCTTTCCCAACAACCCAGCCAAGCACCTTAGAAGATTTCTAAAAATTATTTCATCCACAATGCCTAATGTCCCTACTGGCCCTCTGTATTCAGAAGTGGAAGCCAGCATGCCCACTGTTTCCAGCATGTTCTTTGTAGTATGTAGAGTTTATTTTCTTCACTCGGGACTTAAAGCGTTTTCCTCAACGACAAGGTTTTACTTTTCTATGTAGAAAACAAAATGGTGAGGGATGCTTTTTCTTTCCCTTTCCCCTGTCTCCCATCCCCTGCTCCCCCAACAAGCAGGAAGGTGGAATCCTAGGATTTCTTCTCTCTTCACATCCACGGAGGACGTGCCCCTCGCGGCGTGACCGGGGAAGGCAGACACAGCTGTGGCGGCAATGGGCAATGTCAACGGGGTTTTGTCTGAAACAGTGGGGTTTGGGGGCAGGCACCACCCTCATAAAGCCTGGGGTCCTTGAGAGCTTCGGGGGCCAAAAAGGGACCCACTATCTCTGCCCCCAAGAACAAAAAAGGAAGGACAAAACCCCAAAGCGGAACAACGTTCAGAAATGCAATTGAGACATCAACCTCCCCTCCCTCTCCCCGTGAGGCATTTCATAAGAAAAGTAAAAGGCAACCGTCCCCGGGGAGCCAGGACCTCCAGAGTGGGGGAGCCTCTGGCTTTTCAGAAGCTTTGGGGGCAGCTAAGGGAAAACAAAGTGGGGTCCTCAGGGAGACCAGGCAATGCTGTGGGGGCTCGTCTGTGGGCCTCCTGGTGTCATCTTGGGGAACTCCTTCCCCCCCCCCCCCCACAGCCCTCTGCTGCTCCCACACTGGCTATGGGTATTCTCATCTAAAGCCCTGGGGACAGGGGCTGTCTGCTCATCTCTCGATGTCTTGGGGGGAGGGGGGCCCGGGGGGGGTGCTGCTGAACGGAACCCAGTCCCACCCACGGTCTAGTCCGAGGGCTGCTGCCTTCACGCAGGCACCTTGGATTTTGCTCCACTACAGAGGGGCCATCAGGGCGGAGGTACTGGGAGGGATGTGGGGACATGGGGAGGACTTTCAGGGTGTGGTGACCTCATGAGCCTCCCTGCCTGACCCCCAGGAACAGCCCGTGGCCCGGGCAGCACAGGCACTGCCCGGATCTTGCTGCCCATGTGAACCTCCTGGGTCCCGCCCCTACCAACTCCACTTTTTCAAAAGGGGTGGAGCCTAGGGTTCTAGTTCAAAATTTTACAGGGGAGCCTGGGTGGCTCAGCTGCTTAAACATCCGACTTCGGCTCAGGTCATGATCTTACCATTCTTGAGTTTGGGGCCGGCACCAAGCTCTGTGCTGACAGCTCAGAGACTGGAGCCTGCCTCGGATCCTCTGTCTCCCTCCCTCTCTGCCCCTCCCCCACTCACTTGCTCTCTTTCACAAAAAAATATAACAATAAAATATAAAATGATAATAAAACAAAATACATAAAAACAAAAATTTACAGGAAATCGCCAGAAGACAACATAGGGGAATCCTCATGTGATCTTGGGGGCAGGGCAGGGTTTTCTTAAAAAAGAAGTATGAGGGGCACCTGGGTGGCTCAGTCGGTTAAGCATCCGACTTCAGCTCAGGTCATGATCTCTCGGTTCATGAGTTCAAGCCCTGCACTGGCCTCCGTGCTCACAGCTCAGAGCCTGGAGCCTGCTTCCAATTCTTTGTCTCCCTCTCTCTCTGCCCCTCCCCTGCGTGCACTTTGTCTCTCTCTCAAAAATAACCATTAAAAAATAAATAAATAAAAAAGAAGAATCAACACATACAAAAAAATAAATGAATACAAGATCGGCAAACTGATTACAGCAACGTTAACACTTAACTCCCATATAACAAGTGACTTTACAGGCCGGGCAAAACAGTTGCAAAATACCGCTAAGGGACAAATGATCTTACAGTAAATGGTGAAGGAGTCCCAGGGGCCATTCAGAGACAGGAGAATGGGGGCAGCCAGTAAACACACAACAAGGTGCTCGACCTCACGACAACACAGGGAAAAATTTTTAAACAAGTCACCACCTTCTACCCATCGACGGGGAGGTGACAAGTGGCGAGGACACAGAAAAACTGACAAAGATTTCCCAAGAGCTCTAGGAGAACAAATTAACATAGACATTTTGAAAGGGCAAATTAGCATTCTTTATTTAAAGTGAAACTTTCGGGGCGCCTGGGTGGCGCAGTCGGTTGAGCGTCCAACCTCAGCCAGGTCACGATCTCGCGGTCCGTGAGTTCGAGCCCCGCGTCAGGCTCTGGGCTGATGGCTCAGAGCCTGGAGCCTGTTTCCGATTCTGTGTCTCCCTCTCTCTCTGCCCCTCCCCCGTTCGTGCTCTGTCTCTCTCTGTCCCAAAAATAAATAAATGTTGAAAAAAAAATTAAAAAAAAATAAAATAAATAAAGTGAAACTTTCACACCACATGACCTGGCAACTGGTATGTTCCCAAGAAAAACACACACGAGGGCCAAGAGGCATGAACAAGAATGGCGATGGCAGGATTTGGGTCTAGAGTGACCCAGATGTCCTACAACAAGGGAGAGCCTAAAACAAACAAACAAACAAACAAACAAAAAACCCACAAAAAACGTGCACGTTCATTCAGCGCAAAAACATGGCAACAACAAGGAACGACTCAGATTCCCGGCAATTTCA